CTTGAACACTGCCAGGGATGGGGCAGCCACAGCTTCTCTGGGCAACCTGTGCCAGTGCCTCACCACCCTCAGAGTGAAAAATTTCTTCCTTAGATCCCATCGAAATCTCCCCTCTTTCAGTTCAAAGCCATTGCCCCATGTCCTGTCACCACACACCCTTGTCCAAAGCCCCTCTCCAGCTTTCCTGTAGCCCCTTTAGGTACTGGAAGGCTGCAATAAGATCACCCTGGAGCCTTCTCTTCTCCAGGCTGAACAGCCCCAACTCTCCCAGCCTGTCTCCAGAGCAGAGGTGCTCCAGTCCTCAGACGATCTCTGTGGCCTCCTCTGGACCTGCTCCAGCAGCTCCATGTCCTTCTTCCAGTTGACTGAGTCCCAGCTGATGCACTGTAACATGCCTTGTGCTTAACTCCACAGATACTTTAATTGCTCAGTTTCCCTCTGGGCTAATGCCTAAATTAGTTTTGCTTTTTGACACTGATTCCTTGCTATTGTGACAAACGATAACTCAAAATCATGGAGAAATGTAAAGCACAGCCTAATCCTAATGTTAGGATTTGACGTCTCTATAATCTAGTCCTTGATAAAAAAAAAAAGAAAAAAAAGACAGCAGGGAGAGGGAAAGAAGCCCCTCTATTTCAAAGAATAACAACAATTTACATTAGCCTGAGAGATTTGCAAGTTATTTAGCCTTCAAATGATTAGGCCTGTGCATGGAAAGGGAGGGGAGGAGAGAAACTGGGCAATAACCAGACAAGTTCTGCACAACAGACTGGTAGGGTTTTTAGGGAAAGCAGCATGTCCTCCCTCCTCAGTTCCTCAGTATCCCAGCTCCATTCCTCCCTCTTTCCTGAAGGCACAGCAGGGGCTCGCATTTCCCTTTTCATAAAGCGGTAGCGGATATGAACTGTAAACCCAAAAGGTCTGGATTTCACAAGAGACTATCACAGCTCTTGGGAGTGGAGAGAAGGGAAAACAAGGCAACCTTCCCAGCCCTGGTCCGTTTGGAAAAGGCTGAAGAGAACGAGAAGAGCGCTCTTTGCTGGAAGCCGAAGCCGGACCAGTCATCACTGCGAGCTCTGGACACCGTTCTCGTTCAACTCAGCTCCCCAGCTAATGCTTTTTTGTTCCATTTTCCTTCCAAGTGTTTTAATGGTTCAATCTGGGATGGGAGAGCAAAACACCCCGTAACGCAACTAGCCAAAGTGGTCAGGAACTTTGTGCAAGTCCAGTTCTTTGCCAACAACCCAGTACTGAGGATTTCAGTTACCAGCACAGCCAGTTGCTGAGGGCTTTATGCTTCTTTAAAGGAGACACAGGAATTTAACAGGAAACGTAAGACACAGACAGGTGCAAACAGACACGAGCTGAGTCACGACCAGGCAGCTCCAGATCTGGGCCAGGCAAGCCCATATCTACGCTTACGCACAATGAGAAACCTGTGCAATGGCAGCACATCTTCTCCTACAACTGGCTGAGCTCCCGTGACATCTACCCAGCTTGGCAAGGCTGGAGAATGTTGAGCAGCCCATACAATTGAGCTGACAGCAGTGCTACAAGAAAACACATGCCACCCTCTTAAATTCTGAAAATGTTTAAAAAAAAAAAAAGAAAAAGAAGATTCTGAACTCCTGCAGCTTGATTTCAATGTCAGGAACAGAGGAGGAAACAAGTACAGTGGTGTCACACAGCTTTCTCCAGGTCACAGGAGGAAGCAGTGTCCAGTCAGGCTGGAATTCACCCCAATACAAGAAGGACATGGAGCTGCTGGAGCGGGGCCAGAGGAGGCCACGAAGATGATGCGAGGGCTGGAGCACCTCTGCTCTGGAGACAGGCTGGGAGAGTTGGGGCTGTTCAGCCTGGAGAAGAGAAGGCTCCGGGGAGACCTTCCAGCACCTCCCAGTGCCTAAAGGGGCTACAGGAAAGCTGGAGAGGGACTTTGGACAAGGGTGTGTAGTGACAGGACACGGGGCAATGGCTTTAAACTGAAAGAGGGGAGATTTCGATGGGATCTGAGGAAGAAATTCTTCCCTCAGAGGGTGGTGAGGCACTGGCACAGGTTGCCCAGAGAAGCTGTGGCTGCCCCATCCCTGGAAGTGTTCAAGGCCCGGTTGGATGAGGCTTTGAGCAACGTGGTGCAGTGTAGGGTGTCCCTGCCCATGGCAGGGGGGTTGGAACTGGATGATCTTTGAGGTCGCTTCCAACCCAAACCATTCTGTGATTCTATGATCATTTAAAGCCTCTGGCTCTCTGTACCTCTGTAGAGACTCTCTTCCCTCCTGAAAGCAGAGTCATCCTTATCAGAAACAGAAACCCTCTCAAGGATTTAAGCCTCAATTTATTCCCTGTTTATTTGGGATACTTAAAGTTTATATTAACATATAATCAAGCTCTACTGCACAGCTCTGGATTTATCCCCAAAAGAAAAAAACAAAAAACAAATCAAACTTATCCCAGCCAGAATTTATCCCAAAACCTAGACCTCTCTCTGCATCATCTTTAAAAGCCTGTAGCTTTGGAGAGGAGAGCAAATGAAGGAGGTGTTCATGCTGGCATGAAGGGAGAAGGACTGAAAGAAAATCTGTGATTAATCAAAAAAGAATAAGGATTCAGCTACAGCTCCATGACTCCCTACCCGGGCCTTTACCAAAGGCCAGTTACCTCAATCTGGGCGCGTGAGGTTGAATTGGAATAACAAAGTGATTTTTGAAGCTCTTTCTAATCCTGGGAGAGGCTGGCCTGTAAAACTCTTCAACACATCTGCAATAAAGTTAGTTTCACTGAGCTAGTCTTACCCATGCAGCCTTCTTCTTCGTCAATAAACATTTTGGATTTCAGCACGCGCTTCCGTTTCCTCTTCCTCCCTCCAGCTGAAGCCTGCAGGACATGGCAGCATTGTGAGAAAACAAGAGTTAAGGCCCCACGCACGTACACAGGTCATAAAAGCAGCAGCCTCAGGAGTGAAATCTAGTCTCCCTAGTGAAGCTGAGCATGATTTGACAATTAATTCTGTCCCTTCCCAGGATATTCTAGTGTCATTTTCGTTAATGCCACAATTCTCCCCGTCCTACCGGGCCAAATTTCAGAGAGAAAAAAATACAATTTAAATGAGACAGCAAGCTTTCCTGTCTGCCAGCACAGGGAACAATTTTTTTTTCTGGGGTATGTGACATTTTGAAAGGTATTTAGTTATATGAGAAGGTGGCACTGGGGCTGGCCCATCATCCCCCCGAAGGATGAGGATATAACGAGGTGTGCAAGACATGGAACCTCGTGCTGTGACAACCAGCTGCACTTTCAGTAGAACTACACGCATTTTCTCAGCTCAGAGGTTAACTTCTTGCCCATCGCAGCCCACCTCCCTTACGCAGCAGCTTCCCTGAGACACCAGTTTGATACCAAGAGTCTCTGGTTTCATTTCTGGCCCTGCCCCGAGTCCTGAGGCCAAGATTCAGAGGGAAGAGCATTCAAATATGAGCTACAATTCATAGAACCATTCGGAGAAGAAAAGAGAAGAAAACAGAAAACTGCACTGTCAGTAGAAAACTTAAAGATTTTAAATAACAGCCCAGAAAATGAACGGACTAATGAACATGGTGGGTTCTTCCAAGCAGGATGATGTGATGGACTTGACAGGCAAACAGGACCTTCCCCCGAGCACCTGAAAAGTGGTTGGACAATCCCCCTGGAGTCAGATAAAACCAATATGCTCTTACCTCCATGGATGCAGGCTCCAGTTCAGTTTTCAGAGCAGGTACAGGAGGTGGAGATGGAGCTTTCTCTTCCTCAGGTGCAGGAGACGGTGGGACATCTACTAAGGAGATGAACATCTTGATACTATGTGGGTCTAACGCCCCCTTGCAGTCACCCTTTTGTCTCAGATCATTTCATTTAACTCTGAGCAATTGCTTGTAACCTGTATTCAGATCAAGCTTTACAAGTTTTCACTTGGATTTCTTTAGTTCAAGACAGGACAAATTATTTGAAGCAGTCAGCCTCCAGCCACACTGCTCACCCTATGCTAAGGTGCTGTGCACTGCGATTCCCAAAGGAAGGAGAGTGAATGGTGGGATAGGATGGGAGAAGTGCATTTGGGGTTTTTGGCAAGCCAAAATCAGTTCCACCAAATAAAACTTTAAAAGCAGGCACAGCAACCAGCATGTTTTAGCCATATAGTCCACTTGCTTATTAAAAAGAGGGACTGTAATTTGTTTAGAAACTGAAAGAGTCAGGATTTAAGATTACATATTCCCAAAACACTGGATGACCCTAGTTTCTCCACCTCTTCTCCACTGGTAAAAAGTCAGTGCTTCACAGATGCTTCACATCCCAAACAATCAATGCTATTAGCTTGAAACTACCTTAATCCAAGAATTAAGTGCAATATACTATTACCCACCCTAAAAGATTGTTAAGGGACATCTCAACCTTTCATTTGAAAAACAGATGAAAAAACAAACTACCCCAAAAAACTAAGCCCGTTCTCTCACCACTGGGTGGAAGGACAGAGATAGTGAAATTCTTTCAATGCCAAAACTGACCAAAATGGTCAAGGCCACCTTCACACATTTGTACAGAGCAAAACCAGCTCTGGAGCCTCTACCAGCACCATCAAACAGGGCCTTAGTGAGACTGGCAGGGCTTATAGACAAGTGAGAAAGCCAGGGTCACTCTTCTGCGGGGCTGGCAGAGGGACAGAGGCATGCCGGTGGAGAAAAAGCAGCGCAGGGCAAGAGGGGAAGGAGCAGCACCTTACAGCACACAGCAGGCACCGTGACTAATTGAAACGGCTTGAAGGAATCCTCTCCAAACCCAAGCGGGAAACGCTGCCATGCAAGTCCTCAAACGTGGGGGAGAGCTAGGAACGTGGGGGAAGAAACTCCTCATCTGACCTATTGCTTAATACCAACGCCGATGCGGCGGGACGGGGGGACAGAATGCCTGCCTGGCTCCTCCTGCCAGCCCGGCTGGCTGCAGCCCGGCGTTCATCGCATTCTGGATCCGTAGCTGTCCCAACCGATTAGGTCAGTGTGAAGAGTTATGACTGTGCCAGGCACGCGGCCAACTGACCTTCGTAGGTTAAGAAGGGCTCAAGTGAAACAGTGGTCGGCTGCCAAGGCTAAATAATAAATTACATTCTTCAAACAAGGACTCGGCCTCCTAACTACTTCAGTAAGCGAGGCACAGAAACGCAAACGGAGTGGGATAACATGACTCGGTATTTCACCTTGCCCTAAAGAGCTGGCTCTGGCAGCTGTGCAAAGATAAAACCAAACAACAGTTCTGCTCTAAGGTGCTAACTGCTGGGGCAGCCGGGACCGCCGCCGAGGAGCTGCAGGGAACTCAAAATCCTCAATATTTATGACAGTCTCACAGCAACTGCAGGCTGAAATGCCCATATACTGCCCAGCACCATCCTGCTTCACAGACTGCCCAAGCTGGCCATCAACATTGAGTTGAAAACATTTTTAAGAGAGCCTACAGGCTGACAGGCTGAGAGAGTTGGGGCTGTTCAGCCTGGAGAAGAGAAGGCTCTGGGGAGACCTTCCAGCACCTTCCAGTATATAAAGGGGCTACAGGAAAGCTGGAGAGGGGCTTTGGACAAGGGTGTGGAGTGACAGGACACGGGGCAATGGCTTTAAACTGGAAGAGGGGAGATTTCGATGGGATCTAAGGAAGAAATTCTTCCCTCTGAGGGTGGTGAGGCACTGGCACAGGTTGCCCAGAGAAGCTGTGGCTGCCCCATCCCTGGAAGTGTTCCAGGCCAGGTTGGATGGGGCTTTGGGCAACGTGGTGTAGTGGAGGGTGTCCCTGCCCATGGCAGGGGGGTTGGAACTGGATGATCTTGGAGGTTCCTTCCAACCCAAACCATTCTATGATGAGAACGCTGAAAACCAGCCTGGTGAAAAACTGCCACCTCTGCCGTGCTCGAGCAGAGGCTGCTGAAGGTTATTTGCAGCACGTCAGCTCCACCACACTTGCCTGGGGGAAACCTGGCCTTTTTCTTCAGCCTCCTTCAACTGAGTTCCCCCAGCTTTTGGCAGGGAGAAGGCACCTTCTCCCCACGTCAGAGTTTTTCGGACTACCATCAAGCTGCGTCTCTATTACTTTATTATCCTCTTCTAGCCAACACAGCCCTCTGACATGTGATAACTCCTGAGTCAACCTCTAGCTGCTGCCCACAGTTTACTCAACAGCAACAGCTGCGTGAAATGGATACAAGTTGGGCAATTGGATGTACCAAAGATGTAAATCCTGGCTTTGTTCGGTTTGCTCTGACCCTGCCTGGAAAAACTGTGAGAAGCTTTAGTGCTTCTGCTGCAGCTCTCCGAAACCAATGGAGTTTGTGGGTTGCAGTGCCACTGAAATCACCCTCCAAAGTGGCTGTAAAACACTTGTCAACACGGCGAAACGCTGCCTGTGTTGGTATAGCTGAAGCTGCCAAAACCTCCTGTCCTCTGTGGACACGCTTGTGTAGTTTATTCTGGCACTGGAAGCAAAACAACCTGCAGTGACTAAGGCACCCTCATACCAATATAACTTTTTAATGAAAAATCATTTAAATGGAGAGGATTGTGCCTTATGCCCTCTCTGTATTTTCAACTTGGTACAATGTGCTGACGCTGGTGTAAGAGCAGCTTATTTTGGGCTAATTTCAGTACAGTAAGAGCAGACTAACACAGAGCAAGGGCCCACACAGTGCTCCGCATCAGCCGTACGGACCCCGTTTCAATCCCAAAAACGTCGCTGAGCCTGCCCGGAAAAGGGGCAGCGGTTTCACCGGCACTTACCCAGGTGGAGCCCTGTCTGAGCGACGTTCAGCTGCCAGACAAGCGTCCCCTTGTCCATGCTACCCCTGCAGGAAGGGCTGGCAGCCCTGCTCAGGGCCGTGCCGCCGGGAGCTGCAGAGCAGGACCCCCTCGTCCCTGCCCGCGGAGGTCGGCCGGGTTAGCGCGGCACGTCGTCCGCCTGCGGTATCTGCTCCAGTGGTGCAGCTTCCCATCTTAGAATCATGGAATGGTTTGGGTTGGAAGGGACCTCCAAGATCATCCAGTTCCAACCCCCCTGCCATGGGCAGGGACACCCTCCACTACACCAGGTTGCCCAAAGCCTCATCCAACCTGGCCTTGAACGCTTCCAGGGATGGGGCATGGGATCTTGCATTTCTCATGTTTAAAACTCCTTGGGTCACCCGCGGGCGAATTACGCCGGTGGCGGATGAACCGTGCCCTGTCCGGCAGCGATTTCCAAATGCTGTGCGGCACACGGTGCCTTCCTCCCCGCTCCCAAAGGGATGCACGCGTGGAACAACAGCACTCCAGGCCTCGTTTTGCTCATCGATGCTGCTGATTAGAATTGCCCCCGCTCTCTGGAGAAAGCCCTTTCCAACCTTTCTAGGGATAAATGCTCTCAAAGTCCAGCTACCACACAGTTTCATTTTTTAATTTATTAATTTCATCCAACTTATATTCCTATACTTAACTACTGAATGTCATATGACCAGTTTGGATTCAGTATGAATATTTCAAAGAATTCTAATCTATCTTCTTTCACCCAGTTGGAGTTAGAAAAGCAAACAGCAGAGCCAATCCCCTGAATCCAGACCTCCCCAGGGTGGTTTGGATAGCCATTAGCTTAAAAAGGAAGAAGAGAGCAGCTCTCTCGATTCTAATCTTTCCCTTTTGAAAGAGGGAATAGCAATAATCTGAATAATATACAAATTTGTATACACAAGCTACAATTTGCATAAATTTATAATTCTAACACACAACACAAAGCCGATTCTCGGCACAACGGAAAGAACCAAGAGGACTATGATGCAGGAGGAGCAACAGTGGTGAGAAGAAAATTCTCCAAACAGAAAGTCAAACTTTCTGCATACATCTCCAGCAGGTTAAACAGCAGCAACCCATAACCCAATCCTCCCCACAGACGAGTGGGCAGGTAGCCTTACTTGTACTGGTTTTAATGTCCAGAGGCACTGAGAATGAGGTTAATAAGACAACTGGGCCCCCAACCTGACCAGAGGACCAGATTCATGGTTTCTAATTGCAAATAGGTCGGGGCAATCCCAAGCACAAGTCCAGGCTGGGTGGAGAATGGATGGAGAGCAGCCCTGAGGAGAAGGACTTGGGGGTGTTGGTGGATGAGAAGCTCACCATGAGCCGGCACCGTGCGCTGGCAGCCCAGAAAGCCAACCGTGTCCTGGGCTGCATTCAGAGCAGCGTGGGCAGCAGGGCGAGGGAGGGGATTCTGCCCCTCTGCTCTGCTCTCCTGAGACCCCCCTGCAGTGCTGCCTTCAGCTCTGGGGTCCCCAACACAAGAAGGACATGGAGCTGCTGGAGCAGGTCCAGAGGAATCCATGGAGATGATGCGAGGGCTGGAGCACCTCTGCTCTGGAGACAGGCTGAGAGAGTTGGGGCTGTTCAGCCTGGAGAAGAGCAGGCTCCGGGGGGATCTTATTGCAGCCTTCCAGTGCCTAAAGGGGCTATAGGAAAGCTGGAGAGGGGCTTTGGACACAGGTGTGGAGTGACAGGACACGGGGCAATGGCTTTAAACTGAAAGAGGGGAGATTTCGATGGGATCTAAGGAAGAAATTCTTCCCTCTGAGAGTGCTGAGGCACTGGCACAGGTTGCCCAGAGAAGCTGTGGCTGCCCCATCCCTGGAAGTGTTCCAGGCCAGGTTGGATGGGGCTTTGGGCACCCTGGTGTAGTGGAAGGTGTCCCTGCCCATGGCAGGGGGGTTGGAACTGGATGATCTTTGAGGTCCCTTCCAACCCAAAGCATTCTGTGATTCTACGATTCTTAATCCAGTTAACTCACACTTAAAAGCACAAATAAAACAAGGGAGAACAACCAAACACGCCTACTGCGTGCACGGAGTTAGGAGTACACGCGCGGTCTCTGGACCACACGTTGGAACACCACGAAAGCAGAAGGTCCCACACTCAAAGGCATTAACTACTCAGCCCATGCTACCGTGATACAGGAACTCATCAAGAGACCAGAGCACTCTGATATTGCAAACCAACAGCGGGTGTGCAGTGAGCAGGAGTCGGCAGTACTCTCTGCAGAAAGTGCTCCTCGATTTATGACAGTCTTAGGGCACCTTCTTCTACTCTCAGGACCTGAAAAGGGTTCTAACAGAAGCAGATAAGGAAAGCAGACTGCGGTCACCTCCCAGCTCGCTGCGTGCTCACAGCACTGCCACCAACACGGGTCCCCAGCTCACGGCCCTACCGTACGCCTGAAACACGGGGCTCGTTCCTGCCCGCTCTCGTTAGCGGAGAACGGACCAGTGGAGATTCCAGCCCAGCAAGGAACGGCGCTTCGAGCGGCTCAACGGGCTGATTGCAATCTTCCCTCACTAGAGCTAAACAACGCAGCTTGTCAGTAGGCTGAGTGATGAGCAAATGGAAAGACCAGATAATAGCTTACAAACTTTTAAAGAAATAAATACCAAAGAGTGTGGGCATATATATGTATTTTTTTTTGGGGGCTAAACAAGGAGCTGCACACAGGAATGTGATGAAATTGAGGCTGATGGTGAAGAACAGCTTCCTGAGAGATTTATCATCCTGTGGAATAGTCAGAGTAGAAGTGATGGATGCCTGATGACAGCGATCACTTGAAATTATGCTGGGCAGAAGAGAAACCATGAAAACAGCCCTAAGGTGGCTCAGATATCCCGTAGTATTAGCCCCTCTAACTTGTCCTACAGATTGTCCTCATTTCATGGGTGCTTCTCATGTGCCAGCCACGCTAAATAAGCAAACAGTTTCAGCTCTCCTGCAGGAGTCCATCTCTTTGCTAATACAACCTATTTGCTGTTTCACCTTTTTTTACTGGAGCCGTACACCAAACTGGTGGTTTCAATTATTTGTCCATAATGATCCCCGAATTCTTTTCCTGATCAGCTTGTTGGACGACTGTTGCGTTTAGCACATACTCCCTAGCTCAAATCCCAACTTATTTTCCAGTTATCTATATTGAACGGCATTTGTCACCTCAATTATCCAAATTCTTTGGAATCCAGCCCTGCTGTTCCTCATTATAAGCCCGAATCTTGCAACGTTCTGGGCACCCTACTCCTATCAAAGCCAACAGCCACCGAGGAGACGCAGAGTCGCATCGGATATGGCTCAATTGTTTTGCCTCCAGTTTCTCTATTATTATTATTTTTTTGGAACTCTTGCTTCCAATGCTGTCTTCCAAACCATTTCTATAAACAGACAGAATCAAGATACTAAAAACGACCCTGGGAGGGGGGAAGGGTCACTTTGCGAGTGTTTACTCCCCAAATAAACTGGTTCTGACCAGTCCCACAGTTCTGGAAGGCGTGCTATCTTTCACAAGAGATTTGAGAACCTCCTTCCCACACGTCAGTGTGACTGGCAGCACACTTGGTGAGGAGACAGCCAGGTCCGAGCGATGCTAAAACAAAGACTGTATGCCCAACTGCTTGCAGCACAAGATAAACAGCAAGCTCCAACTACAGCCGTTTGCACGGTCTTTAATCCTCTAAACTATTCCCTCAATCATCCCAAACAGCCTCGGATAGGGATATTGTTGAAACCAGGCCCCTGGCCTACGTGCCTGGTTGTTTACCCATCTTTTTACCTTCCTCGTCACTGCTGTCAGACTGAAGTTGTTTGATTCGCTTCCTCTTTTTCTTCAGATTTTCAGGATCTCTTTCTTCCTCATTATCCGACTTGTCCACTCTCTTTGTTTTACTGCCACAAAAAGAAAAGGAAAAAGGAACGAACGTGTGTTATCCCTTGTGTGTGCATGAAAGCATCACGCGTGTTTAGACGAGCGCCTTCCTGATACCAGCACGGAAATCAACCACCTCTGTACCTCTCAAAAACACAATCATCACACGTGCTGGAGTATACTCACCTATCCAATGAGGTATAAGTGCACGAGCATTTTCAAGCCGCTCATCCCTACCCATATCCAGTTCTCCAAAACAAGGAGAGTTTCTTTAGCCCCTCGGCAGTTCAACATTTTGCCCAGCACCTCACCTAGCTTGGCCACAGCAACCTGGCAAGAGCATTTCTGATCTTGTCTCTATAGCTCAGGCTCCCAAACACTAATGTCCCCAACAGCATCGCTCAGAAGCTCTTTTGACAGACTGCTTGCCACTGACTGACTATGAGGTAGTGTCTCAGAATCCTGGAGCCATTTTTAAAGACTACTGGAAAAATAAAATAGCTTCTTTCTTTTTAATGTTGGCGAGACGTGTCAGACTAACAAGCCTGGAGGCTAAAGGCCCACGTATCCTCATAGAGCTGGTACAGCCCAAGTGGCCTTCCCAGCACCACACTGCCAACGTGCAGTTTCCAGGCCCTTGGCTTTTTGAGTAAGACTATCAATAAGAAGACCAGTAAGCACTAACTGCGATGGTGGGCTGGGCGGTGTGCTTACCTATTCAGTTAGAAACAGATTGAGACCACCAATTAATTACTCATAGGCCACCAGAGAGCCATCAGACTGTAATGATTTTTTGTCTCTGTCAGTTTGGGTTGGATTAAACACAAAGGGCTGAACTTAAAATTTACTTGGAGCCTCAGCCCAAAGTAAACCAGCAGCATTGAAAGCAGCAGTACATTCGCTATGGACATCAACAAGCAGAACTTTGTGTGCTGGAAGCTGTGTACATATAAGCTTGGGAATATACTACCTCCCCTGCAGTACAGGTGCTCCTGCCAGCCCCCACAGATTGCCTGCGGGGTCTACACTAAGTCTGCTCACACCGTGACTTGTCTCATGGAAAGCCACCCCTTCCCACTGGAGACTACCTGGAGCGTCTCCCTTTCAGTTTGTGATGGTGCAAATGGCCCCAAGGCATCTACAGCTCTAAATGGAAAAGAAATATTAGGAAAGAATTGGATGAGAGAGAATTTTAGCCGTGTTTAATACAAACTAGTAGCTGGAAACAGGAGGTGAGCTCCATGCAGGCCACCAAGTGGGTTAACAGATTACAGGGACCCTGAATGGTGTGGCCCACCTTTTTTTGTCCTTTTGTTGAATTCCAGCAGACTCTGCTTTCTTCCCAGGTTTCTCTGCTACAATATTAGGAGATGACTCTGGTTCTGCGACAGAAGCTGAAGGCTTGACTACTTCTTTCTCCTCCTTTGGCTGTTCAGGCGCGGAGCTGACTTTGAGTTTATCTGTGAATAAACCATTAAACCAGAACAAACACTGGGCGCTCAATCTGAATGCCAACTTACACAGGAGTTGGCTAAACAAAACACTGTGCACCAAGAACACAGAAAACACTACAGACGATACAGAAAAGCATGAAGGGATCTAGATTGACCAAGCTGCACCATACACGAAAAAAAGGGCACGCTTAAACTCCTAGCTGATGTACCAGTTTGGTTCTGTTCCTGATGGCACAGCCCACACATGCTGCAAGCCGAGCAGTTAAACTCTGCAGAAGAGGGGTAGGAAGCAGTGGCAGAAGCCCTTACAGTCACCAGGACCAAAGGCACCGCAGAAGGGTTGGGAACCCCTCTTCTAGACAGCCCCCTTGGCATAACACCACATCTGTCTTTACAGCCAGTTTGTCCCTTCTAAATTAAGGGTTTTAGCCACGCACGAAAGTGGCCAGAAACAGGAGAATCAGGACTGATGAAAAGCCACAAAAGGTGTGTGCAGTCACCGTCCTGCATAACATCAGAGCCCACAATTATCATTTGCAGTAATACAGTGGCTTCTCCTCCCACCCCAACCCCAATGTGACCAAGAACCAGCCTCTTTTGCCAACACAGCACCACATACAAAGACAATTCTGCTTCAAAAGGCTTAATCTAGTACCAGAGAAGAGATAGCAGGTGGGAGTGGACAGCAAAATAATACATTTCTTATTGGCACACCAGCACCTAAGCACAGTCTGTGAGCTCCATCCAGCAGCTTTACACGCATCCCACCAGGAGAGAGGAGCAGACGAGTTAGAAACTGGTATCATCCCAAGCACAAGATGCCCGAGAGAGGAAAAAGTATTCAACAGTGAGATCAACTGCACTGACAATAGGAACAGAGGCTGCTGAAAGGGCTCAGACTTCATGCCAACACCTTTCTGACACTGCCTGGAAAACAGGCTGGCTGCTTCATTGAGCAAGGGAAACCATCTCGCCCATAGGAACCTGAATGACAGCTCTCTTATTAACCACCAGCAGTAGAGAGGCGAAGGACCCAACTGTTGTTAACTCACAACTTTCTGGCAATGGTGAAATATCTGAAGCCAGGAGAGATGTACAACATGCAGGGAATAAATCTTACTCCTGGAATCGCCCTCTCTCTTCTATACACATAATCATTTCCAGTTCTGCTCAGTCTGCTCCTTTCCCTGCAGCCACCTCACAAGTGGACAGGGCTCAGCAGAGAAGAGAACCCCACTGGAAATCGTGGAAATGCATCCACAAAGGTTTCTCCATCCTCACTGGGTTATCTTTACCACACAATTTCAACTTCTTTGGTTTGCAGCACATGAACTTCAGCTTAGGGCTCTTCTCAGACCTTAAGAATGTACTTGAGCTTATTGTAGGAACTTTGCTTAGGCTTGTGAGGCTCAGGCTGAAGACGTCCTCAGCTCCCTCAGTCTCACAAAAACAGGAATGCAGAGATGTCCAGCAGCACTGTGCCTTGTGTGTTCACTGCTGGAACTGTATCTTGCAACCTGGTAAGATGTCTGCTAGAAAGTGAACTTTGCTGTTCACTCTCTCCCAGAAACTCTTCTTTGAATCCTCTTGTACTCATTATTATAAGGGCATCTTTGAAGAAAGTCCCAGAGTCCTTTTCCAAAGTCTATTTAAAAGCTTCAGCGTATTTTCTTTAGACTTGGACAATTTAGGTCAGAAGGGACCTCCAGAGGCCACCTGCTCCAAAGCCCTGCTCAAAGGAGAAGGCCATCCCTCGGTTTTATCTTCCAGATATTAGCTCTTCAGTTGTCAGTACAGAAATTAACCCTAAATCTAACTATAGACTCCTGAGTGATTTGTGATGAAAAGCAAGCATCGCTAACACGCTCTGCGTAACAGGTTTTGGCAAACGTGTTACCAACAACTAACCTTCCAGCCAAAAGTGCTCTACTTTAAATCAGATTTCTTCTGCACTAAAAATCCTTCCTGGGTTAGTCTGCACAAATATGTCATTTTAATTGATCTCCATCCAGCAACCTTTTTGTCTGAAAAATTCCACTTACGACTTTTAATTTTTGCCTTAAGAGCTGCATGCAAAAATATTAACCCCCCTGAGTCCAGAAAAGCAGAAGAATAGTATGGAAAATTGTAAGAAAAGAGGAGATATGAAGAAAATCCAACAAGTTTGGCAGGGTGGGGGTGGGAAGGAAGAATTCTGCTCCTTTCTGTTTATGCCACCCATCACAGCTGTATAACAAGATGCCTGATATCACTGATTTTTTTTAATTGCAACTTAACTAAAAGAAAAAAAAAAAAAAAAAAAGAGAGATTTTTAATATCCCTCAGGATTTTTTTTTTTTATTATTTTTTAGAACTCCAGCAGGCTGGTCCCTGACCACAATGGTTCCTGAAAACAGATGTATATTATAAAGCACTTACTCATGGCAGCTTTTCCAAAGAAGTTGTTCATTATGTTGCCCTTTACTGGTGGTTTGCTGCTTACTGCAGACACCTAGAAGCAAACAGAGGAGTAACCACAGGAATTACTCATGCAACAGAGCCCTCACAACGCATAGTACTGCTTCTGGACACGCAAAATAAACATGTATAATTTGTTGACTAGTCAGTGTCTTAGATTTCAGTATCTCTTTAGGAGAATTTGAAGATATTACAAGCATCAAAGGGTCGAGAGTAAGTTACTTACGACTCCTGAGCTCGGCCTTCAAGTCTAACTTGGGCCACGTTCCCATCTGATGGCTGACAGTGTTACTGAAATAGGCAGTTGGGACTTGGGTCAGTTCCCAGTAAAGAACTGTTCTTTTTTGCAAACTATCAGTGCCTCAATTCACAGTAACCGACAGAGGAAAGAACACAGATTGGCCAAACCATGAAGACTTTATCCAGCTACTCTGGCACGTACGCGGTTCTGCTGAGCCGTTTGCAAAAAACATCGCTGCTCTATTCCATTAATACAGCCACCACCAGAGTGAAAAATCACACCCACGCACTAAAAACACCCACCTAAGGAAGCCTGGCCTCCTAATCCCATTTATTTTCATGCAAAAAAGGCAATCAGACAGTAAAGTTCCCAAAACGCTCGTATTTCACCGCTTCTAAATTCACTACAAAAATCAGAAAAGCGAACCAAGATGTACTCAGTTGTTACAAAAAAGCCAAACCATCCGCAGGGAATGCTACAATTTTAATACCCATTTACTGGCCACAGTGCTTTAAAAACAATTACACTAATTAAAATTAAAATGTAATCCTATCCTGGAGAAACCAGCAGATGAGAAGATAAACAATTTAGTCTTGCACAGGTCAAGCTCTGAAACTTCCCTCACAGACCAAGTTTAAACACCTTGATACTTTTAAGACCTGGACTTCTCACATTTCATTTATTGCTCAAAACAAATCCTTTTAAGCACAATGGAGAGAGCGAGATCCTCAACTGGTGTATATATATTGGCATAACTGGAGACAATGGAACAATTGTCTGAATAATGCAGCTATGCTGGTTTATACTCGCTGGAGATCTGGCTCGAGGAGGAACGTCAAAGTTATAGCAAATACACTTTTGTGGACAGATCAAGAATGTGGCACGATATACTTTTGCCCAGGATGACTGCCCCTCTACTCTGCTCTTGTGAGACCCCATCTGGAATACTGCATTCAGCTCTGGGGTCCCCAGCACAAGAAGGACATGGAGCTACTGGA